AGCACTGACTTAAGTACCCGGGGTATTTTACAAATAGACCATTTTTGATGGGTATTTTACTCGAAGGGTACAGCTTGGGATACCTTGGTCTAATTCATGTATGTACCGGGTACATAGTATAAACGGCCATATCCAGATATTTTAGAGGGAACCTTTCAATAGCTGGGGAGGGGTATTATACGGTATATCCCAATTTCACCGACACCTCTTTCGCCGACACCAATTTTGCCGACAGCCATTTAGCCAACAATCCACCTCCCCGACAACCCACTTACCCGACAACCCATTTCCTCGACAACCCACTTCCCCGAATCCATTTCTCTGACTTCCGATTTCACCGACAGCCACTTTCTCGACATCTCATTTCACCGACACCCATTTCACCGATAGCTATTACAGCTGTTCTCATATATTCTGGGGTAAACAAAAATTTATAAGCACCTAAACTTTAAACGAAGATTACTCAGCACTTACCTGACCAAATTCGATCAATTTTTTTATTTTTAATTCTATGTACTCACAGATAAAATAAAAAAATTTCATCAAGTTTGGATAGTTGGTTGTCGAGAAATCCTTGTTTTAATTTTTTTTTTTTTTTTTTTTTGCGGACATGAATGTCCGTGAAGTCATATGATAAGTTAAATGGCACAAAAAAAAAATTAAACCAAAATTTCTCGACAACCAACTATCCAAATTTGATGAATTTTTTTTTTTATATTAATTCTGCGAGTTCATAGAATTAAAAAATAAAAAAAAATTTGTAGAATTTGAGTAGCTGGTTGCCGAAAACATTCATAAAAAATTTGGTCACTGCTTTTTTTTATAGGCAACTAAACTTTGAATGAAGACTACTCGGCACTTGCCTGGTCAAATTCGATCATTTTTTTATTTTAATTCTATAATCTCAGAATTAAAATAAAAAAAATTTGATCGAATTTAACCAGATTAATGCCGAGTAGTCTTCATTCAAAGTTAGATATCTTAAAAAAGAAGTTGCGGCCAAATTTTTTTTAATTTTAATGAATGTTTCTCGGCAACCAGCTACCCAAATTCTACCAAGTTTTTTTATTTTTAATTCTATGAACTCAGAATTAAAATAAAAAAATTCAAATTTGGATAGTTGTCAAGAAAGTTTTGTTTAAATTTTTTTTTTTGCGCCATTTAACTTATCACATGACTTCACGGACAGCAAAAAAAAAATTCAAACCAAAAATTTCCCGACAACCAACTATCAAAATTTGATGAATTTTTTTTAAATTTAATTCTGAGAGTACATAGAATTAAAAATAAAAAAATTTGGCAGAATTTGGGTAGCTGGTTGCCGAGAAACATTCATTAAAAATTTAAAAAAATTTGGCCGCAGCTTTTTTTTTATAGGCACCTAAACTTTGAACGAAGACTACTATGGTCAACTTTGATCAATTTTTTTTTTATTTTAATTCTATAATTCACAGAATTAAAATAAAAAAAATTGATCGAATTTGACCAGGCAAGTGCTGAGTAGTCTTCGTTCAAAGTTTAAGTGCTTATAAAATTTTGGTTTCCCCAGAATATATGAGAGCAGTTGTAATAGCTGTCGGTGAAGTAGAATGTCGGTGAAATGAGATGTCGAGAAAGTGGCTGTCGGTGAAATCGGATGTCGGAGAAATGGATTCGGGGAAGTGGGTTGTCGGGTAAGTGGGTTGTCGGGGAGGTGGGCTGTCAGCGAAATGGCTGTCGGTGAAGTAGTTGTCGGCGAAGTTTACCAAATCCGTATTATACATGGGAGATACTTTAATCAGTGCTGTACGGTAACTTGGATTCAATATTCAATCAAAATCTTTAACGTTTAGTATTTTTAAATTTGATAAATACAAATTTTTTTAAGAATTTTATTAAATCGATATTTATTACCGCATCTTTCTTACTATTATAGCGGTTTGCAAAAAGGTGTGACCTCTGCATATTATAATGTCATGTAAAATCACAAGAAATCGACCGATTCTAGTAGATTTTTCGATTCTTAGAGAATTTTAAAGATTCCGAATAAAATATAGACGGTATTGATCGAAACTACGATCGATAGGGATTAAAATCTCGGAAATTTTCCGCTATCATCAGTACGAAATCACAGGGTCACACCTTTTTGCAAACCGTCATAATATCTGCAAACATGTTCAATTCAATATTCAGAATCTCAAAAATCGTTAAAATTTTTTGTTCTGGAGATGGAGGCCGAGATATCGTTATGTCATCCAATGTAAAGCTTATTTTAATAGCTATATACGTATGTTTGTTATTTTTTATTCGTGTTTATATTTTGATTATATAATTTAATTAATTAGTTATGATAATTAGGAAGGGGAAGTATAAACGAAGTAGAGGTTACGGTTAGAGTTGGGAATTTATTAAATAAGAATAATTTTGAGAGAAGACCTCCGGCAATGAATTTCATGAATTAATAAAAATAAGGTCATGCCAACAAATAATTGTATCTCATTACTCGGGCGGATAACTTTTTTAGAACAGTTAAAATTTTTTTCTATATAAAATTTTTTTATTCTTGTATAAAAAAAAAAAAAATTATAACCGTTTTTTATATTATAGTTGTTATCATAATTTCTGAAACATCAGATAAAAATTTGCCTAATGGCTTTTGCTAGGAAAATTACCCTTCGAGCCATTGCTACACGAGATTTTAAATTGGAAAATCATAATAAATCTATTTTTATTCCTAACAAAGATGGTGGCTTAACCTAACACAGATTACATACAAGTAAATACTGAACCTATTTTTTGGGATCATCAACTGAAATTATAAATTACAGATTTGCAAACTTAAAATATTAAATGTGTAATAAACAAATTTCCAGATCATTAAATAAATATTATCCAAAGCGTAGCGAGAACTTAATGGTAGACCAGATTTTGTGTGTATGTTTATGTCCGAACCTATTTTTAGATTCGTTATATTAACTATTAGCCAATAGTTTTATTTTTTATTTTTAATTCACATGAAATTTTTGGCTTCGGACATTTAAATATAGTTGTGGTTATTGATACAAGTCGCTCTCGCTATAATGAAGTGATCGGGCTGTGAAATTTCTTTACTATATCGAGAGTCTATTAGTAAATTTTAAGTAAATTCACTATATCAGATATCGAGAGGGTTTTTATATACACTATACTTATATCGAGAGTTCATTATAACGAGAGTAACTTGTATGATGGTCATCCGGGGCCCCAGCAAGCCGAAGATCTACCGGATTATTTCCCGGAAGTCCGGGAAATAACAAGCGTTTCCGGGGAAATAACAAGCATTGCCAGAAACTTGGTTTTTTTTTTTACTAATTAAAGTAACGGTAAGTAGTGATTATAAGTTGTAAACTCCGTCATACAATTATATAGAATGTGGAATAATAATGTTAATAAACAAGCACGTTATTTTCCGTTATGATTTTAATAATGTAATAAAAAACGGTAGAAGACAATAATATATTTTTCAAGGATGGATTAATAAGAATCTTTATACGGCATACATCCAATGTTTTTAGAGTACTATATGAGCAAACGGAGAGCTATAATTTATTAGAATATTTCATTAAATTTTCTATGTAATGAGGGTAAATGCGCATAAAAAGCACATAAAAAACAATACTACGTATTTTATGATTATTATTATTATTTATTATTATTATTATTATTATTATTGACAAAGAAATTTACAGTTTAATACTTGTATATCTGTATATACGACGATGGAGACTCCACTAAATTATTTCTTATGCTACAGTAGTGGCTTTTGCGCCATTAGATTACGTGAAGACGATGATGTCTTTTGGAGGCCACTGTACGTTAATACGTTATAGACACGTTTTATACGTAATTGATTTACAACACTAAATTTTAAAAATAGTGAAGTAATAATGACGAAATTTAACAATGTAAAAATGGCGCAATAATGATGGCGCAATAATCTGAAATTAACGTCTGTCAGGAAGTAAATTGTTTTGGATGCAATATACTTATTTATACAGTATACGCACGTTTGTTTATTTATTTATAAAAGTTATGACAGAATATAATCATTAAACTATACCCGAAACATTGAAGTCATAAAGACTTTATTACGTGAAGAGAATTCTTTTTGAGCACTACTTTTTGATTTCTGTTATCTACAACTTTTCCAAATTTCCATATTTTTTTGTGCGCCGACTGATACCTGGCTTTCAATTATAGGAAAAATATATTTATAGAATGAGATATATGCGTTAAATAAACAAAGGATTGAAAACTGTAGAAATTACTGTTATATATGGTTATCTAAAACGTATCATACCTGAATTTGAAATTTTCCAATCGACAAAATAATAAATAATTCATCGTTGGTTTTAAAAACCGCATGTCGCTCACTCACTATACGTATATACCCCGCATCCACTTTTAATAAAAATAATCTACCAATAATCATCGCAGAACTGTTTAAGAGTTGATTAAAAATACATTTTGGCTTTGCAAGTCTAAGATCCTAAATTCATCTTAATTCTACTGCCGCCCAAACACTCTTTGATGCAATGAAACGTTACCCAACTATTTGGTATCTTATAGTGGAGTTTGGGATTGGATATCGAAAACTCCTGCAGTTCCCGTACGAGTGCCCGTTTGTAGAACGATAATTTGAACTTAGATTTGGACAGAAACTCGATTTGTATAATTATTATATATGAACGTCAAGGTTTGCAACCTTGCATACAATCTAATCCTTATTTGGATATAAAATATAGTGAGTGTTTAATCTGTATAAAATAACTTTTAAAGTACAATAGTGAAAATTTCTATATTCTTTTTTTTGTATTTTTTATTTTATATTACTTTATTTTATTTTTTTTGTTGTTGTTGGTGGCAATTTTTTGTAACATTTTAATTGTATATATAAACATTTATATAAACACTTAAAAGAGCATCAAGTGTCGATTTAATTAATTTTATTTTATACTCGTCTGCAAAAAAAAATGAGAAAAATGACACCTGAAACATCCATTACGAATGAAGACTATCTGCCACTCATAGGCTCTGATACGGATGCTGAACTTCAAACTTCTTCGGATACTGACAGTATCAATTTCGTACCATCAAAACAAAATGACAATAGTTTATCGTTTTCAATTTTTGATAGTTCTTCCAATCCATCAAGAGCAAGTAGTTATAAACGAAAACATTCACCTTATTTTTATAATAAACAAAATATTAATATTGATAACTATCCAAACGTGGGTGAATTACTTTGGAATGAAGGAAAAACGTTTAGTGATGTTAGATTGACATTCGAAGATAAAGGTGTTCTAGCTAACTGCGCCGGAATACCTTCAGAGCTTCGTTTACACTCTGTCGTCTTATTTCAATCTCAATTCTTTAAAGAGCAACTCTCACAATCACCTTCAATGTTAAAACGAAATATTATTAATGAAAAACAAATCATTGTGAGATTACCTACTCATGTTAACGAAGAAGATATTATTAACTTTTATTGCACGTTAAAATTAATTTATACAAAAAAATGGGATCTGGAATTAGCAAATAATTTATCGAAAGGTGTTGGATGTTTATCAGTTTGCTGTGAAATTGGATTTCAAGAAGGAATTGAAGCTTGTTGGAAATGGTTGGTTAGAAAATGTAATCGCGATAGAAATTTTGAGATGATGAAACTATTAATAGACGCTTATCCAAATTTACATGAAAAATTTACCCATCAAGTTGAACCTGTTTCAAAACCTTTCTTTAATTATTCAAATTTATCAAGAAATCCAAGAAGTAAAAGAAGATCACGACGTAATAATCGACCAAAACATTTATATAGAAAAAATTCTCATGATAGTAATCGTTCGAATAATAATGAAACATCAATAAATCAATCTTCACCACCACTTAATAATGATAATAATAATGATATTAATAACGATATTAATAATAATATTAATAATATTAATAACGTATTACCATCACCACCATTATCAGCTTCAACTTCACCTACGTCGGCCACCTTTTCAAATCCTTTAGTATTATCACACACATCTCATCCTTTTCCTGTTTTATCACATCCACCAACGCAATTTGATAATCTTCGAATACTTAATACATGGATATCAAAATTTGAATCATATTCAATATCTTCAAAAAGATCTTGCGCAAAATTTCCTTTTGAAGCCAGAGATGATAATAGATGTTTCCCATTTATTAAACGTTTTAGTTCCGTTTTTGATTCAATTAATCAACTTGGTCGATCTAAATGTATTACATCTTCTCAATGTCTTGATTTTGCTCTTCGTATGTTAAATGTGATTAAAATTGAACATTCACATTTTCATAAATTACATATTCAACCATTGAATTTAAATGATGATAAATCACAAAATTCATCGGAAGAAATTAACAATACTACAAGAAAATCATTATCATCAACAAACAAAAAAAATAAATTATTATCTTCATCATCAATAATACTTCATGAATCATTAGATGAACCATTATCTATATTATTAAAAGAAATATTATCACCTGTAGAACAAAAGCATTTATGTGATTATTTATGGGCTCCAAGTAATATTTCAAATTTAATGCATCTTCAAGAAATTCGAAGTGATGATGATGATGATCAAGTGAATAATGAATTTGATGATTATGAAAAAGTTATGGGTGAAGATAGTTTGGTTAAAGGTTCAAGGGTTAGTCAAGTTGAACACATGGTGGTTGGTGAAAAAATGGTAAAGATCATGAGAGAGATTATGTCTTCAACAAGTTAAAGAACATTAAAATATATTAAATTTCTCTTGTATATTATTATCTTCATACTGTATATTACAGTAGAATATATTATTTACTGTAAAAAATTCACGAATGTTCTGGTATGAAAATTTATTCACGTGATTCATATTTAAGTTTATGCAATACAAAAATTACGCCATTGAAATCTACTTTCGTAAACCAGTTTTCTCCATAAATCAATTTATTTACAATTTAAATAATTTCTAAATTTGTTAATTTTTTTGAACATGTGAATATTGTCGATAAATATGGGAGGTTCTGCTTTATCTTGATACGTTACATTATAAAATTGGATCATCAAAAAAAATATCTTTAATATTTGTTTGTATTTTTTTTATTATGATAAATCGATACATTTTTTATTTAAAGAATTTGAATCTAGAATTAGTTATGATATGTTCTTCTTTAATAAACCGGATTTGGTTTCTCTATATTTATTATGGTAATAAAAAAATCAGAGAATCATCGGAGTTCAACGTCAAAGAATTTTTTTTACTAATCTTTTTTTGATTCACTGCTTGATCTCATTATATAAACAATAAACATATGATCATGTGCTTTTATTTTTAACTAACTAAATAAGGAGATTGATTGATCTAGACCAAAAATTTCTATTAAAATACTTTCCATCGAAAAATATCAATTAAAAAACAAACCTTTGATTGTCCTACATACTATTCTTTAAATTGTGAATGATCTACTCCGTTTTGGAAATTCCGGATCTTTTTAAATTTTTGCCGCTTTTATTATCGTTACCGATAAAAAAACAAAAAAGAAAATTTATATCGATAATAATTTAACCTATGTGAATCTTTTTAAAAAATTAATCTATTAAATTAAAGAATGATCCAATAATAGGATCTGTTGATCGAGTTTAAGGAGTTTGGAGTTTCGAATCGATTTTATTTTTCCATGTATATGCTAAAAATAGATTAAACCTGGTTTTAGCATAAAATTTAAAACTAGGTTCCAAACCTTTAGGTCAATCGAGTTAGTCTGCGTTTTACAAATTAGTAAATTCGCATAACAGCTAACTGACTATAGAATTTAAATATTAGGTATAAAAATAAGAGTTACCGTATGTCACTGCTTATCCATGTTTAAAATCGAAGAACCGGGCATATTAAAAGTCCCCCGGGTTTTATTCAAGAAACAGGTAGTGATACCCGGTCTTAATCACGGGTGTTGCCGTTACTGTAAGTAGTAGAATATGGTAATAGGCTAATTTTTTGTGTAATTCTAATGGATGTTAGTGGTTGGATATTCAGATTAAGATCAAGTTTTAACATGTGTAAATGAGTAAGTATGTTTGATTACGTCAAAAATGACGTATGTAAAATTACTAGTCACACAATTTGGATTTAATTTGTTGAAGCCTTTTTTACTTTTTTAAATATAATACGTAATTGTTTTTTATTTGATTAAAAAAAAAAGATATTGCAGGTTTTGTCGCGGATAATGTTGAAATCTGAGAGCCTTACACAGATCGAATGATGGCAAATCGGGTATAAATCGGGTGTCTGATTTTAAATTGATTACTACATTATCACTACTTGATTATGTCAATGTTTGTTACGAAATCATAATCAATTTAAAATTAGACGCGATTTTTATACCCGATTTGCCATTATTTGTACTATTTTTTCAGAAACCTTTGATTGTGCTAAACGTTTTACTAATATAATTGAAATATACTGTAATTAAATACCGTATTCCTCCAAAAATAAGCACTCCCTCAGAGCAATTTTTATAGCCAAAATAATCATAAACTAGTGACTGGATCTGTATAATTTGGTACCATTCGAATCGACTTGTCAAAATGACTCGAATGGTACGAGAATTACATAGATCCAATCATTAATTAGATCACGAGAATTTTGGCTATAAAAATTGTATTTTTATTCTGTTAAATTACTATTAACTATCTTTTTATCATTTAAGATATTAGTAATATTTTAAACAGATTACTATTATATTATGGTTATATGACAAAAATATTTAACAAAATTTAAAGGTTCTTGCTAAGTAGATGTTATACCAGGGATGGTAAATGACCAGGTCATTTACTCAATTTAAACGACCAAGTTATTTGAGTAAATGATCTGGTCATTTGGGCAATTAGGTCATTTAGCACAGGATGAATAACGGGTACATATCGGGAGACAAATCTCCCAATATGTACCCATTATTCTACCATAGATCCGCTATCAGTGGCATATTAGTAGCATATATGTTAGATATCGGGAGGTAGATCGATAATAGTAACATACCGGGACATCCCGGTATCTTACTCTTAGCACTATTTGGACTAAGAGTAAGATACCGGATGTCCCGGTATGTTACTGTTATGTTGCCATTATCGATCTACCTCCCGATATCTAACCTATATGCTACTAATATGCTACCGATGTGCTACAGTTATTTGGCGGATCTATGGTAGAATAATGGGTACATATTGGGAGATTTGTCTCCCGATATGTACCCGTTATTCATTGATTCAACCTGTGTAGGTCATTTACGAAGTAATTTTATTGGTCAGATAGCTAATATAAAAAGTTATCAAACGCTGTGATTTTACTACAATGATCGTAGTCAAAATTTTACTAGGTTAATCAATATTTACATCGATTAACTTAGTAAATTTTGACTTTTATATGTAGCTACGATTATCGATAATATTTTATAAACTTTACCGGTATGTCTAATAATCAAATTTGACTGACTAAAAGGCGTTAGATTATCAGTTAACTATCGCTATTTGAATGTGAAATGATCCAATGACTGGTCATTAGTCATTTGGGTCATTTCAAGTCATTTACCATCCCCGTGCTACACCCGTCATTAAAATGACGGATAAGATTTAAGCATCTTTATTACCATACCCTGCGGGATAAAGGTGAATAATCTACACTTCTCAAATTTCTTTTGCATAAATATATATGTAAAAAGAAGGCAGAAATCATGTGAGTTTTAGCCAATCATCGATGTAACATTAAAAATAATTAAATAATCGTTCTAATAGCTCTTAATAGTTAATGTTAGGATAAGAAAGTTCGTAGTATAAAATCATTCTAATAGCTCTTAATGGTTAGTGTTAGTTCGTAATATAAAATCATTATAACAGCTCTTTATGGTTAGTGTTAGGATGTATTATAAAATCATTCTAACGGCTCTAGGGTTAGAATTTAGTATTTTAATTAGGATGGTTGTATTACATATCAAAAATTTCATGAATTTTTTTTTTGCCAATATGTGAAATCTAAAAACCCGTCACTAATCTATTGGCTTTTTTTTTTTTTTTTTAATAATATATCCAATTCATATGTGCAATATGGAATTAAAATAATCTTTGTTAATCTTTAATTCAGCGATGAAATAGAACATTCGCTAATAATATTTATGAAATAAAAATAAAAGGTTGCCATTTTAATTGATTCTATGTGAACTAAACGAATCTCTATAGTCATTTAACTGGAAAAACATATGTTAGTGTTAATGATGCAGACATTTTTCAAAGTAGTGACTACTTACAGCATTACAGCTATGATGTAGAGGTCGTACTACCTAGAGTTTGGAACCGGTTTTATTTTTAATATGTTAAACCTGGGTTGGTTTAATCGGTTTTAACATATGAAAAATAAAACCGGTTCCAAACTCTAAGTACTACCCGAGGTTATTGCCGTGAATGTCATATAGCGGAAAATTTATCTGGCCAATCAAATTTAAGTTTTTGTACAAGATGGTTCACGCGCTTTACACAATTATAATCAATTTTTCGTATATCATCCAACAAAGTTGCTGAATATACATACCCAAATTCTCTAAATTCTCTTTTGCCAATTTCTTTAACATTAGATACCATATAAGCGCGAAATAACGCCTAATGTTACAAATCGCCAAAATTTTTCCAATCGATTAGTTGAGTAATTATTTTTTTAGTTGACAAACTAGTTGCAACTAATCGATTAATTGTTAAGTTGCAATTAATTGATTAATCGATTGTTCGATTAATTGTAAATTATAACTAATTGATGCAAAAATATGTGACGTCTGCAGATCACAATGCCGTGTGAAAATCAGAGATCCTGTAGATTTTAAAAATCTTACCACTTTTCAAATAAATATAAATATAACTGATCGAAAATATGAATTAATAGGCAATTTAGAATCTCAGAAATTTTCCTCGTTCATCATCACAAAATCTTGGGGTCACATCTTTTTGCAAAGCGCTACGTATAATCGATTACGGTTTGCAAAAATTTGCAGATCAAAAAAAGAAATCGATGATTGCATATCAACTGATATTATATATTTTATTTAGTATACATTTTTTTAAAAAAATATTTTCTAATGGCCAAAAATTATTATCCCGGAAGATGCTTTGGGTGCACAAGTGTCTTTTTGTACAACTTATAAAACTTATTGTAACTATATTTCCAACAAAAAAAAATTATACCAAATTTTCTTATGCTTTTAATTGAAATTTCATGATTCTTTAAATAATAAACAAATTAATTTTTTAGAATCATGCTAATAACACAGGTTGAATCAATGAATAACGGGTACATATCGGGAGACAAATCTCCCATGTACCCATTATTCTACCATAGATCCGCCAGATAACTGTAGCATATCGGTAGTATATTGGTGTTAGATATTATCGGGAGATTGTCTCCCGATATGTACCCGTTATTCATTGATTCAACCTGTGTAATTCTTATAAGATTGAATTTGGTGCAATTTCTAAATTTTCTTGCTCATTATGCAATAGTAAATTTTATCACAATCAAATTCTTTAATAAATTATATTCCTACAAGAGATACTAAATCAAATATGCTGTTAAAAAAAAAAATCGGAAATCAAAAATCATCGATTTTTTATTTTTTTTTGATCTATATAATTTTGCAAACCGCAACTAATCGATAATCGATTAATTGATTAATTCGATTAGTTGGTATCTAAAAAGTTCAATCGATT